TGGTAAGGGAATGAACTGAACGAGAATAAACATACGGCATATTTGCCGGATTCATGGATTCTATACTGAGGCAGCGAAATAATAGAGTTTCGCTCAAGATGTGGTGCAACATTATTCATGTCCAGAAGAGCCATAGTGCTTGTCCTCGTGAACTCTGCAAACTGCAAATTTTCATCGCGTCATTAATTTCAATCATACGTCAGTGATAACGACTCACAAGCGATACGGAAAATTCCACTGCTTCACAAACAAAAATGAACGGTGCGAATAACCCACAACAACTATTTTCTGAAATGGAATTTTAAAGAGTGCAGCTGCCAACCGCTGGATTTGTGCACGAGTTCAACCCTACGTTGAAGGCTATATCGCGGTCCCGGAGCCGTGAACATAAGGCTTCTCAGATTTCAAAAGGAAAATTTTTTCCGGTTGTTCGAAACATAATTGACCATTACCGAGGTCATACTCTTAGAAAACATGCCAGAGTCGTAGATTTTCACCGAAGATAACCACTGACCGTTACCGAGGTCATACTCTTAGAAAACATGCCAGAGTCGTAGATTTTCACCGAAGATAACCCATCACTGCACTAACAACGAAAGATACACAAAAGTGTTGTATTTTACGGATTCATAAAATAAATTTTAATTTCGCAAACGTTTACAATTCGTGTGTGCTATTGACACAAAAACGTTTATTCACATGTACAAACACAACAATTGAAAATAAAACAGATGAAACGCAAACGAATGACTCGTCATCGAGCATTAAATGAAAGAATAAAAGCACATCACAAATAAATTTCCGACAATTTCACATATGAAAAACAATTTTTATCACTGATTTAAACGGAACCGATGAAGAGCGAACACCGTCCAAATACTCACCGTAACATTACTAGAGATGCGAACGCGAAGACATGAACGAACGAACACCACATAGCAACTATAGTGAATGCTTGAATACGAAATCAATTGCAAACGTGTTGCGCAGTTTTTATCAACTGTGTGTGTATTATCAGATACAATACGGTAAAGATAAGACGAGTTGAGTCATGATAAAATCAGCACTATTCTATGTCTGACCGCAGATCTCATAAATCCTATCTACAGTTCTCTTAAATCAGTGATGACATGACTGATCGCACCCTGTCAATAGCTTTAGCGCACTTCTACGGATGAAGCTTTAACGGAATTTTACGGGTATGATTTTGCTGTCACGCAACTTTTTTCCTCGCGCCTTTATCAACTTCCCGTCCGAGCAACCAACGAACACATCCACTGGTAAAAATTATAATCGGAAATTGTTCGCATACAATCAGCAGCATTCCGCGTTGTGGCTTACACTTATGAGTGCTCTCAAGATGACTTCAGTATATCAATGATTGACGCATGAAAACTTATCAGTTTCAATCAGCAAACAAATGTGAACAACGATAACAGTGAGGAATGTGGTGTCAATGAGAAACGTAACAAATTCAATAGAAGTTTCATTGATTCGGAGTGTGCTTAGTGTTGTTGCCAGCAGCTGGCTTAGGATTCGGATTATTAATCTTTGTGTTAACGGAATATCGCGTTGAATTTGCTTTTGACTGCATCGCTGATTGCGATATCGCCCATGAGCAAGTTGTTGCCGATCCGAAGATGACGAAGAATATATTCGTAATGACGAGAATAATCGCAATTGCAAAGAATATCTGAATTTTTGACTAGATTAGCATTCGTAGTGTATGAGTATGAGAATTTTATGCAGCACTTTTGCAACTGGAGCAGTGAGATTTTTCGCACAATTTCAATCCATGAAACAGTTTCAAACTAGCGTAAAATGGAGTCTACGGTTTATGATCCAAAACGTAATTGTATGATACAATGTGGGATCGATACAAAAGAACAGAACTGACCCTTTTCCATTGGTCAGCAGTATTGTCAGGCGCCAACAAACTAACACCGAACGGTACAAGTAACATCGTAATTGTCGCACTTAACGTCACATTCCCGGTCACAAATGAAGCGTAGTGCCGAGCGATCAATGG